TTGTTGAAGCCACTAGGATAAAATTTACAGATTTTTTAGAACAAGATCAGATAGGAGTGATAGAAGAAAGGATGAGGGTAGTGGATAGATTAAGGCAACTGGAGATGTCGATTGACATTACACTTGAATAGTTGGAGATTATAACTCACAGGGAAACAGGAATATATAAAGGAAATCCACAATAGAGATATAATAGAGAAAATGAAGCTATTAGATTTAGAAAATTTTTTACATTTAGGAGTTTTTGACAGTGAAGGGGTGAGAGCGGGATGCCAGCCTCGTAAGGCGCTGGAACTCATGACGTCTGGGAACCAGTGAATACATATCCTCGGATAATTTCCATGAAAGTATTTGTAGAACAGACAGAGGGAGGCGACGGCGCGAATGTGAGATTTTTTGACTGTCAAAACATGTTCTTTCATTTAAATTTTATTTTGAATGAATTATTTTTATATTTTTAGACATCCTTGGTCCATATTTTTTCAATTGTTTTTTTACATTTATAAGAAAACATTAATTTCGGATATGAATATGCGTTTTATTAGACAAATATAAAATAAATAGACAATTTTATAAGTCGACTTCATGCATATAGAAAAAAATTTTTTTTATGAATTTTAAAATAAATAATAAATATTTATAGATAAATCAACAAGGAGACCAAAAAATAAATGTTTTTTATATAACTTCAATGACATAACCTGAAAAATATAATTGCGACCCCTATTTTTGGCTTAAAATACAGATCATAAAAAATATTATAAAATAAACTCCATAAATGCGGTAACTTTAATCACCAAAAAAAAAAAAAATTCAGCAAAAATAAAGATAGAAAAATAATAAATTAAAAAAAAAATTTGAATTTATGATGCGTTTTTAAATTGATTTAAAAATTATATATATAAATATTCTTTTCTGTTTATACGTTATTTTTATTAATACAATATATATAATGAATGCTATTTTATAATAAACTTGCCTTTAAAAACATTTACCGGGATGAATATTCGAAATTAAATGAAAAAAATATGTTATATCAGACAGGAATAAAACCTGTATATATTTACGGAAAACTTTTCATATTGTAAGACAAAACTTGTATTAAATTCATTTTACCATTTTTAATAAAAGAATTGGAATTTTTATATCGATCAATTTTTTTTCTTAAGATTTTTTTTTTTTATTTTTTTGGAAAAAATCCAATTTTAATTAACCAAAATTTATCTTTGTTTAATGATAAAGTTTTATAGATACAAATAATCAAATAAATGATATATTTATAATAAAAATATTAAAACATATACCGGGCATTAAAAGGTCAAATTTATAATTTTATATATATATATATATATAATTTTAAATATATATATTTAAAAATTTAAATCAAACACATAACTTTATATATAAAATTTATTAATATATAAAAATACTGCCCTAAATGTACATTTTGAAATCAAATTGGAACATAATATTCATAATTTAACTAATTCAAATAAATATGTTGTTTTTTCTCTCTGAATAAAATACAAAAATATATATAGATATATATATATATATATAAGGAATATAAATTAAAAAAAATATATATAATGTCCCAACATTGGATACAATTTTTATTTAAGTAAATATTTTTTATATATAAATATTATATATATAAGAATAAATTAAATAAATCATTCCTTTCCATACAATTTCTCCGTTATATATGGTTGGTAAATATTTAAAAATGTTGGGATTCTCAAAAATAAAAAATATTGAAATAACTTACATGAGATTACTAATTAAGTTAAACATTTCCAGTAGCATTTTAAACTACTGGATTGATTATTTGTGACAATTTTTTATGAAATTTTTATTCTTTTGTAATTTTTTTTACTATAAACTTTTTACTTTTTTAAATATTTTTTTTTAAATATATATTAATAAAAATTAGCACAGAAATATAAAAGTTGGTAAAATTTATCCCAATGTAATACGACGATTTTATAATGACTATTGTCATACTAGTAATAAAAGCATAACCTTCTATTTCTGTTGGAGGAAGAATCTAATATCTAAATTTGAAAATTCAAATAAAGGATTGAGTTTGTTAGAACTTTTAAGAGGAATAGAGAACAGATATTTTTATTTTTTTAATTTGTATAAAAATCAGGTTAGGGAATTTTATTATATATATATATATATATATATATTCATCAAAAATTTTTTGCTTTGAATAATTAGCATATAAAACCAAACTAAATTTATAATAATAAATCCAAATTTATACTCCATAGTTCTAAATAAAATTGTTTAAAATTTATAATAAAAAAAAAAAAAAATTATTATCATTTAAAAAAAAACAAATTTAAATTATGACAGGTTTTTTATATATATATATATATATATATAAAAAATACTTTAGGAAAAAAAAAAAAAATAAAATAAAATAATCAATAAATCGACACTTAATAGACACTTAACCAGCCTAGACGCTGTCATCTTCTGCTTTAAATTTAGACACCCCAACCTTACCCTGACTTGACATCTGTGAATGTAACTGAGATATTGATACAAATTATTAACCCTTACGCCCCCTTATTTTTAAATAATTGCTCTAGCAATAGTAATTTTAATTTTAATAATGAATATGCTTATAAAACGCGTAAATTTCAGGCATTAGTTATTTTAAAAAAATTCGCTTGAAGATGGAACAGAGCTTGGTATTTTAATTCAATTTAATTCAAATAATTATATTGAATAAAACATTCTTGTTTTGAAACATGAGAACTTTAGAAGTTGAATTGGAATCATATTTTTTAAATAAATAATATATATTTTTATATATACTTTTATTTATTGTTTAAAAAAAAAAAACAAAAATACTAAAGAAATTTGGATTATTTACCTAATGAGTTCTTTCAATGGAGAAAAATATATTTTAACACACACACACATATATATATATATATATATATATATATATATATATATATATATATATATATACAATATAAAAAATTATTTTAAATAATGTATTTTATTTTAAATATAAATTTTTTTAAACCTGATAAATATATAAATATAAAACATCTAAATTAATAACAAATATTTTTAATTTTTTTTAAGCATGGGTTGAATTACAAATAAAACTTCAAATTTAAAAAAATATTCTAGTTCGCGATTTTAAATAAATTTTTTTTCTTTATTGAAAGGTCGTTAAATTGTATTTAAACATCAATTGAAGAAATGAAAATTTAATCGGACATTCAGGCTGGTAAAAAAATCTTTAATATTGTTTATTATTAAACAAAGCAAAAAATTAAATATTTGTATCTATAAAAGAAGTTAAGAACATAAAAACTTTGATTCATTTTTAGAATAAGTATTTTCTTTTTCCATTAAAATATAATCATATATATATATATATATATATATATATATATATATATATATATAAATATGTCTTTGCAGTTTAATTTACTATTAAAATGTTTCATTTATATAAAAAATTAAATGAATTAAAGTTAATTGATATTTTGAAAAAATTTTTCAAGAAATTAAAAAGATACATTAAGTTCAAAAAAACTTGATGAATATTATGATTTTGTTTTTTTTTTTTTTTTAATATATATTTTTTAAAATTTTTTTTTTGATAGATTGAATATTAATTTTTTAATGAGGGCAGATATTACAGAAATCATGAAAAGCGAAAAAATAAAAATGATATTTTTAAATGTTGATTAAGTTCAGTTTATTGAAATATACAAAAAAAAAATCAGCACCAAATCCAACATTTTAATAAATTATGTGTAAAAAATTTTTCTAGCATCAACAATTAAAAATTGACAAACAATAAAACGTAATTAATGCAAAAAATTTTGAAAACATGCAATAGTGGATGTTCCCCGAGATTGTAACACCTATCAAGAATATTTTCAGTTGGCTGGAGAATATTGCACAATTATAAGGCATTTTTACCAAGACTGAAGATAAAAAAAGAGAGAAATAATGTCTTATCTACCTGTGGACAGATATTAAATATTTAAAATCTTGGTGTATAAAAATTGTATATATTATTTACATTTCGACACCGAATAATATATAAATATATCATTGTCATTTTTTGCCAATCGACACGTCCATTTTTTCAAATTGGTAAAAAAAAAGCGATGGGTAATAAAACGGTTGTAATCCCGAAGGAGAGGTATCCATGTAAAGAAATTATCTTGTTCTTGTTGACTATCTATTGTTGTTGCTAAATTCTTTTAATGCTGTTTTCTTTCTGTTTAAATCTCTTTGCCAGAGCTATAGAAATTCTTCGAGATTCCCCAAGACTTGACATCTAACACCGGTCATTTCACCGACCATCTTCCGTTTTTTTTTCTTCCCATTAACACAGCATCTTCACTTTGATCTTTTTCTTTTCACTCTGACTTTGATTCCCAGGTGCATTTCTTTGTGCAAAAATACAATTTCTTTCAGGTCTTTTTTTTTTGTTGTTTTTTTTTTATTTTATTTCTGCCAACATTTGAAAGATCCAAGCGCAAGTCCTTCACTGTGACTACTAACGATTGACAAATCTTCTTGTCAAGCAGATTGACCCGTTACTGTAGACCTGTGACCTCTCTAACCACAAGTTAGGCCAGTTACTGTCCACTCGAATTGACAAGCGTGACTAGAATCGGTCAGAAGTCGGAACAAGCGATCTGGTTCAGGAGAATAAGTAGACAAAGAGCCCAGAAGATGGACACTCCAAGTGGATAAGGGTGCTTAGGAAATGGGGGCCAAGGGGTGTGGACCTGGTCGCGTTTACAGCCTCTCTGATGTTTGTATGCATTGTGTGTGAATGGCAGCGTGTTGCAAAGTAAAACTTCGTCCTGTGGAATGTTTTAAAGGTATGTGTGGAAAAAAAAAAATAGAGTAAAAAATATAATAAAATAAAATACAAGAACTTAAAGGAAATGGAATTTCTCAAAGATTTGAAATTCTTGGAAGTTTAAGGAATGTGGATTTGTAAGATGCAACATTTCGTCTTTTGTGTACTTTTTTTACCTCTATCACCTACTCTCTCTATCTTTCTTCCTTTCTCTTTCTCTATCTTTCCCCCTTCCATTTTCTATGTCTTTCTTCCTTTCTCTCTCTTACTCTCTATTTTTCCTTTCTCGCTCTATCTGTCTTTCTTTCATCTTTCTTTTCTCCTTCATTCTCTCCCTATGTCTTCTTATCTCCCTCTCTTTGGTTCTCCCTTTTTCTCTCACTGTTTCGTTTTTCCTTTCTTTTTTCTTCATTTCTTTTCCTTTGAAATTTTTCAAACTTTCTTTCTTGGCTTTAAAATTTCTTATTTGAATCCCCCTGAAAAAAATTTTCTTCCTTTTTGATTCTTTTTTTTTTTTTTCCGATTTTAAGAAAAGGGGGTTTTGAAAGATGTAACAATTCATACTTTGTCTAATTTTCTGCTCTCTCACCTTCTCTCTTTCTCAATTTCTTTCTTCCCTTATCTTTCTTTCCTACATTCTCTCTCTCTCTCTTTCTTGTCCCATTTTATTTCTCACTGTATCTCTTCTTGATTCAATATTTCTTTCTTTCTTTCTTTTCTTTAAATTTGAAATCTTAAAAAATAATCTTTTGTTTGTATTCTTCCTTTTTTTGGCTTTTTTTCCTTTATCTTTCTTTCTATCCAAAAATCCCTTTTTCCTTTTCTCTAAATAAAACTAAAAGTCCCTCGATCCCTCCCTCCCTTCTTTTCTTTTTTTAGTTTTATTCTTTTTTTTTTTCCTTTCTTTCTTCCTTTCTGTACCCAAACTAATATTTTCCTTCCTTCCTTCCTTCCTTCCTTCCTTCCTTCCTTCCTTTATTTCTTTCTTTTTCTTTCTTCCAATCTGTACCATTCATAATATAGGCGGGTATCCTTATCTTTGTTGTTATTACCAATGTTTCGGCTGACACACTCTTCGACCCTCCTTATAATTTCTGAGATTCTAAGAGATAGTATTTTAGCTATTCCTTTTATTACGCTGGCGAGTATCGGCGAATTTGTTGTTATGATCACTACATTTCGGCTGATACGCTCTCCGACCTTCCTGGTATTTTTATGAAATCCTATGATAAAATACTTCCATATTCCATATATGTTAGTATCATTCTCTGGTTAATATAAAAATTTTTCTTCTTTTAATTATATTCCAACATCTTCTTTTCAATTTTCAAAACGAATTCATAAGTTATCAGATATTTTTTTTTTCTTTTCTTTTATTTTTTCCATGTTAGCTTAAAAAATCCATTCAGATTTAAATAACCCTCGAAAATGCAGCGCATGTGATCAAAGTGGTTTATTAGATATTCACGAAATAAAAAAATACAACCTGAATTGAATCTTTTAAATTTTTTCATATAAATAGAATATATATATATATATATATATATATATATATATATATATATAAACAGAGATTCATGAAAATCAGCGAGAGAAAAAAATTTTCAGAGAGATATTAAGGGAGATATATCGCTAAACGGATGTTCCGGATATAACTGAATCTCAATATATATATATATATATATATATATATATATATATCGGATATATGTTTTTCAAATTGTAAAATTTCCCAATGGTAAGTTTGTAATTGTTAATTGTATAGAATATTAAAAAAATAATTTGCATTGTAAATATATTTTTTAGATGTGTTTTGCAAAATCTAAATTTAAAGATTATTAATGTCAAACAAAATGTTCCTTACAACCCCTAAATAACCGTTCTTTTCAATTTGTTTTTATAACTGCCATTTTAGGCGTAACGAAAATGAAAATTCCAAATATTTTCTTATAAATATTATATATCCAGATTTTATATAATTGGATATATATATAAAATACATATAAAAGTATTAAAAAATGTTAAGCATTTATTATTTTTAATGTGGAAACCAAATACATACATTTCTTAGAATTTATTGTGTCCGTAATTTATTTTCTAGTTGAATTTCAATAGCATTTTCTTCCGATTTAACTTAATTTTGAGTTTTGAATGCATTTATTTTGTGAACAAAATCATTTCACAAAATTGGAACTTCAAAAATTATGTATAAGCAATCAGAAAAGACTTGGAATACCTGGTAGTTCACCTGGGAATACGTTTTTTTATCAAAGTATTTATTCTGATATTTAAATCAACATGACATAATGAAGGGAGACGCGGAAATTTTTGTGAGTAACCAAAAAAATAGTGGGTTTTGGAAAATTTTCTTGGGGATAAAGAATGATGTTACACATTATCTTTAGATCTTGAAATTTTTAATTTTGTGGTGATACATTATAAATGATAGCGTTTCAAATTGACATTACAATAAAAAACAGTATTTTTAAACTCGGGTTTAAATTCTTGTAATGATGCCTTTTGTTAAAACGATATAAAATTTTATGGAACCTAAAGACGTTAGAAGAAAATTTGATCATTTTAAAATTCGAAGCTCAAATAACTTTTCTTTTTTGAAAAGAAAAAAGGGGATCTCAGAAGTTTCGAAATGGTAAAACCTTTAAAACAAAGTTAAATACCTGTTGGTCTTAGAATACAACCTTATTTAATCTAAAAAAAAAAAATTAGAGTATTTTTTAGACAGGTGCCGAATATCAGAATATATATATCTGTATATTATATGATAAATGTGAAATAAATGAAATATTATATATATATATATAACACTCAGTATGGTGATGCGTTGCCCGTGCTTGATTAAAAAATCGTACGACTCATACAGCAATCGCTATCACTTGACTTAAAATATTTTTGCCCTTCCTTGCCTTTAAAGGAGTGCCCTTTGCCGTGCTGATTTTGCTACATGCCTTACTTCTTGCCTATCTCACACTGCGAATTTTTTCTAAGCTCTATACTAAACATTAAATCTGTTACGAAAAAAAGAACTAAACAAAATGAACACAAAACGATCAGCTTTAAAAAAGGACTCGTAACTGGAAAAACCGAATGAAAAAAGAATGTTAACAACAAATACTTTTTCACACCCAACCCAGTTCTGCGGAATCAGAATCAACGTTGAGTTTAAGCAAGCGAATGAGCCAATTGGAGTAAAGTGCCATGCAGATTTAAATTTTTCCCACTTGTGACGAATGCAGCTATCGATTTTTTTTTGCATGCTAGCATGCTAGTTAACATTCGTGTCAGTCAGCTGTTGGCTCTCACGCTGGCCAATAGAATCTTCCTGCCTATTCGTGGCAGCCAGCTATTGGCTCTCACTCTGGCCAGTAGAAAATGTCCGCAAACTACATGAAAACTGCCGTAGAAGCATGAAAAAATCGATTATTTCCACTATCGATGGGAGTTGGGATCTTGCAAAGTCGGTCTTGGCCTTCTAAGTTAACTTGGAGCATGTGCATGTAAATTTTGGTGCAAATCCGTCGAAAATTGCGGCCGTGCATTCGTTACACATTTACACACACACACACACACACTTGAACACACACACAAGGAACACACACATACATACACATACATACATATATACATAAGGACACACACATTTTTTACCCATTTTTTTTAGATTTTTTTTCTTATAGCAGTTTTATAGGTTAATTGATTAAATAAATATTAGAAAACATAAGATGAAAAAAGAGACTTAAAAAAAAGTTTTGGAAAAAAAAACAACAGAAAAAAAAAAAAAACTATTAGGGATGCAATAAAAAATTGAAAAAATTAAATTGTTATTTGTTTGAATAATAAAATGGAAGAAAATGACATTTGAATAAATTTCGTTTAAAAAAGACGAAGTATATAATTTTATTGATGGAATTAATATATTTAAAAAAAAAAGTAAGGATTGAAAAGATGAAGCACAAATGCAATAGAATAGAAAAAGACCGATTAGTCTAACATAGAAATTTATTAGAAGAACGAAAGGCTGAAATGAAAATTTTAACATTTTTATAAATATATTTACAAACACACACACACACACACACAAATATATTTATATATATATATATATATATATATATATATATATATATATATATATATATTGAAACTGTGTGTGTGTGTGTATTTTTTAAAATTGTGTTTTGTGAAAATTATTTAAAAAATTGGAAAAAATAGTAGGTAAATATTCAATCATACATTGAAAAATATATTATAAATTTTTTATATATATATATATATATATATATATATATATTTGTGTGTTTTTGTGAATATATATATATATATATATATATATATATATATATATATATATAAAAAATAAAATTAATTAATATAATTAAACGTATCGTATATATATAGGGAATTTTTAAGTCAAGTTAATTTAAAGAAGTTTTATTTTATTTTTCAAAGTTGTATTTAAATTATAAAACAAAATTTTTTTAAATAGACGAAATATATAGGGGACGAAACGCATTGGTAAAGAATGGTTTTCCATTTATTTTTTATTTATATAGTGTTTACAGATATGTTTTATATACATAGATATAGTGTATTTATGTTTGAACAAACACGATTTACATATGGATATACATCAAAAAATATATTTTACAAACTTTGAACAAAAATGATTCACACCAAAACAAAGCCAAAAAAAAAGATAAATATATGTCTGCGTATCCTTCGTTTTTAAATATAATCTAATCTTTTTTGTCATTTGGAGAATATATATAATATATATTTATATATATATTAAAATTTGTAATATTTTCAATATTGTCGTAAATATTTACTTGTTTAGTAAATATAAAAAAAATAATGTTCTGTTTAACGAATAAAGGATATTCATATGGTGAACTTTAGATTTCATTTTTGATTGACTTGGAAACAAAACCCCCCTGTATCAGATTGCGTTTCCGGACTGAAGGCATTCTATAAACAATAGTTTGTTTTGTTTATTGTCGTTGCTGCGAAATTATTTGTTTTTTATATATGAATAAAGACTGAAATCCAGGTTCAGACGCGTCAAAGGCAAGCTTGTCGTAATCTAATATTATCGCTTGGAGGATTTATCAAGAAATTTATTTTCATCAATATTTTTTTTGAAGGATTTTTCTTTAACGGAGAACATTTACCGATGGTTTTTACCCAATGAAAATCAGATGATTTTGTCTCTTTCAGTCTGGTTTACAGATGAGGCAACATCTGGAAGAGATGGAATAACAAATTTACAAATTTAAAACCAAAATTTGTGGGTTTTTTCGAAACATTCGAAGAACAAAAGCTTAGACACGAATAGTTGGACGCTGTTAAAAAAAAACGGATTTAACAGTTGCGTCACGTTGTGTCTTTTTTGTTTGAGTCATATTTTAATTTTATGGATTATCGTCGCGTTAATACAAATAAAAATTTTTGAGAAAATGTATTTTAAAGTTATTGATATATTTATGAAATACGCCTGACCATTAAGAATACATTTCGTATTCAGTCTATATTGAATAGACGATCATATATCATGACACGTCAATTTTTTGAAAACAAAAAACATCTATTAGTTTGTTTATTAAGTGGACTTTGCAAATGCTTTATTAGTTCATGCTAATAAATTGAAATGGTTTTCGCCTTCTGATCAATTTTTTTTGGGAGAACGTTTGAGTCGATGGTTTTTTACACAAAATGCCGATCCGTTGTTTATCTTTTCATCTTGTTTACGGGACGAGGAAAAATTTTTTTGAAGAGATGGAATAAAGTTATTAAATTTAATGTATAACATTTGAGGGAGGCTCAAAATCGCCAGGTTAAAATTTTAGGCAAGCATCGTTTTTCGATTAATGTTTAAAATTTTTTGAAATTGTAGATTTGTCTGGTAGGTCCATATAATTTTTCCAGTACGTCTCCACAGGAGCTATCTACAGGGAATTTATTTGAACACGCTGCAAGACATCTTGCACAAATCTTAATACGAAACGCCTGTCGTTTTTGAATGATTCTTTTTCAGGAAAATGACAGAATAAATTATGAAATAAAAAAAAAAAATCATTTTATTGTTGAAAATCGACATTTTTTAAAATCAAAAGAAAATGAATGGTTTTTTTAAAATAATTTTTCATCCGTTTTTTTTATGTTGGCCCCTAATGTTAAATTAACATGAAATTCCAAAAAAGACAGAAATTAATAATGCAGAGGATTAAGTTTTCAATTGTCAAAAAACAAAATGAAGAAAATTCGATAGGATTGTTAAAAATTATTGAAAAATCCGCCAAATTCAATAATCCGATAGGTTTTGCATCTGTTCAAAATATCAATATAATAAAAGACAATTTTTGAACATTTGTTACCTGAGAATGCAAAAAAAATGTTTAACGATGAACTTTTGGATAAAAGATAGACATTTTAAAAATGTTTTATAACGTCAAGAACCCACCTCAATATTTTGTAAAAATATTTTGGGATTGTATCTTGAATTGTAAATTTAATTATAGAAAACGTCGGGTTTAAAATTAGAAAAGAAAAAGGATTTTTCGTCTTTTATTAACATATATGTTACAAATTTTGTTAACATTGAAAAATAAATTTAAAAAATTTTGAAAAAATGAAAAAGTTTTTTTGATACATGGTTATATATATATATATATATAGATATATATATATATCAGGTCATCCCATAAGTTCTGTCCGAATTTTAACTTTTTGTTAAAATGAACGAAATTTAAAGAGTATTTTATAATGTCTAATGGAGCTGAACATTATTTTTATGTTTAGATGCATTTAAACTGATCAAATTTTTTTTCAGAGAACAATAAAATTAAATTTTGTTTGATTAAAACATTGCTAACATGGAAGTACCAAAAGAATCATTTGAGGCACATAATGCTTTATGAGTTCAAGAAAGGAAACTCAGCATACGAAAGGCTAGAAATATTCACTCAGTTTATGGAGAGGAATGTGTGAATGAAAGATTTTTTGCAGAAGATGGTTTGCAAAATTCAGAGGTGGAGATTTCACCCTTGAAGATGAAGATCGAACCGGACGTCCAGTTGAGTTTGATGAAAAGCTTCTAAAAAGTAGACCTTGAAGACTTGGAATGCTTTATCAGTTGAGGAATTGGCAGTGGTTCTCAGTTCAAACCATACAACTGTTCATCATATATATATATATATATATATATATATATATGAAATATATATATATATATATATATATATCCCAGTTATATCAAAACATTCGTTTATTTATCTATCTATCTATCTATCTATCTATCTATCTATCTATTATCTATCTATTTGGATAAGTGCGACATTGTTGTAATTATTGAACAATATAGTTATGCCATTTTTGACAGAAAATTTTAACAGTAAAAAAGAATTTATTTATCACCATATTTGTACAAGAACGCAACAAACAAAAAAATTTAAAATCAAACTCAGCGTTGCTACTGCACGCTCCAAAAACAATAACTCATTTTCAATAGCATTTTTCGGATACAACAATACATATATTTTCGTTGTCCTCTTATTACTGAGAGAAAAAAACAAGAACAACATCTATTCTATACCTGAAGATGTCTGTAGGAACAGACGAAAGCTTGTAGTAAAAAAATAAGAACTAATACGGCAGAAATTTATAGAAACAAGGATCATTTTTCATTCATAACAGATTCGGAGGTTTTGTATATTATTTGAATTGTTTGCGATGATGGATTTCTCGCCAATTAAATCATTAACCTTTGCATTTGTTTTTGTGTGAATAATTCATGAATTTATAAATTGATATACGTTTATATATATATATATATATATATATATATATATATATATATATATATATATATATATATATATATATATTGAACATTAAAGTCAATTTTAAGAAAGACCATCTCTAGACAAATTTCATTTTTTTAGCCTGATATTAGCTTTCAGATGTCCCTTTGAAATAAATGTTATTTATATAAAATACACACAAAATATCTCTGATATTGTTGCACTTTATCCCATAAATATAGCATACCTTTAAATATATTTTTTATATATATATATTTATATATATATATATATATATTATTTAAAAATATGTATTCATCGCGACACAGAAATTACCATGTTTTGAATTTAAAAACTAAATAAAAAATTTTAATTTATAAAATTTTCGTTTCATTTTGGTGACGATGTTGAAGCCCTGTTTGAAAAATGATTTACCATTTTTTTTTATAAACTAAATAGCATCTTATAGTTTAAGTTGGTGGGGAATGAGATTGCAAATTTTTTTAAAGGGTATTGATTTTTTTTTACAATTCCAGCGTAATTTATAATTTAAGGTGTTAGCATGTATTTTTATCTTTTTAATAGGGGTGGGTTTTGTAATTTCTGTTTGATGATACTGTTTTTTACTTACAATATAATTGGGATTTTTTAAATTCATTTTTATTTTATTTTATAAAATACATTGGAAGTTTCTTAAAGAGGCTTTGAAATATGATTAAGTTATAATGTTTTTATATTTATTTTTTTATTTATAAAGATCTAAAATACTATATTTATTATATTTATTATTAAACTATATATGATATTGTAAAATTAAATATTATTTAAATTGACTACGTATTTTCTTACTTTCTTAAATTCTATATGATGAATATATTTATAAATATATATATATATATATATATACTGTGTCATCGAATAAGTTTTGTAAAAATTTTGAATAAAGAAATTTAGATTAAAAATTACACTTTAATATACAGATTCAATATACAATATATTTATATATTATATATATTTTATATTTATATCTATTAATATATATATATAATATCCATTATATATATATATTTTGGCTTTTATTAGAAGAACTAAAATCTTTTTTTAAATCTTTGTTATGTTAGAAAAGCTGGCCTTAAATGATGTTGTTTAGCTACGAAACAAATCATTGTCTGAAATTAAAAAAGAAAAATTGAATACAGGTGGATGAGGAATTTTGCGTTCCCAACCAAGTCTTGATAAATCTTTTTGTTAATTTTTGATTCTTGCTCGCAACCCCGCGCGATTGGTGAATAAAAAACATGACTACAAAATACTAATTCACTGATCAATTTTTTTTTCCTCGATAGGTGTACGTGAGAAAAAAAGTCATTAAATGCTGATAAGTAAATTTGAGCATTTGTTATTAACATTACGTTTAAAAGAACAAATGCTGCCGAAATATACTGAATAGATAGATAGATAGAATAGATAGATAGATAGATAGTTAGATAAACAGATATACATGAATGCTCTGTGTATAAAAATACTATATATAATATATAACCTGTGGTAATGACAATTGTAAGCCTATTTGATTAACAACCAGACTTATCGCGCCTATGCAACTGTCATCTTTTTTCCTGTGCTGCTTTTAAATTGCCGGAAGGGTCACAGTCCATCCGGAAGTTCTTTTAACGCCATTAGGAATAAATTAAATATGTACTTTTCCGGACGACAAGATAATCGAAATAGAATAACAAGAAAAAATTCTCACCCCTCCCCAACTATGTGCAAGCCAACACGAGAGTATAAAAGACTTTCAAAAAAAGTAACTTTGAAGGTCACTACTAAGAATTTTTTTTTCATGTCATTTTTCAAATTTTTTATTAAAAAAGATTAAATCGCGATGCAAATTATATTATATATATATATTGACCAATACGATTGTAGTAACTTGTGTCTTTCTTCTTCTTCAGGTGTGTGGGCGATCATATATCTCCACAAGGTATATCTGTTCTTTTATAAGATAACTTTTAACTCGTTCAAGCAATGCTTAAAAGAGGCCACGACTGATTTGTCAGTTCGATCCAGTTTGGATACTCCATAATTTTGAGTGTGTCGTTCTACAAAGCGACTTTATAAATGTCAACATAAACGCTTCACTGGACAACAGCGGTTCGTTTAGCTGACCAATAGTATTGAGCTGTATTAAACTTAGCAAATATCACTTGACTTACACACATATAGAGCGTTACATTTGTATTTTAATATTTGAAGTAATATTAATGAACAAGATCAAGTAAAGTGTTTTGATGGTCATCAAAGCAAGCAGACGTATACTACTTTGAGAAATAGCGCAAAAATTCTATTTGGCAAACATGACCCCCCAATCTAAACTGAGCATGATGAATACTGAGAATTTCTGGTCATATTTTCTTTCCCGAATTTTGTTCGCAATTTTCCCCGTATAATCATTTTAAACTATTTCATCTATTCCACCATTTTTTTGGACCATAATTTTATCGAAGCTAATCAACTGTGTTTTGGATTTTAAATAATTATTTGTCTTCCATAAATAATTTTTAAACATTTATGGAAATGAGCAAGCGGAGAAATTTCCCACGAGTCACAAATTAATATTTTTTTACAAAAGAAGCCTTAATCGAATTGCAACTAAACGGCATGTTAATGTTATTTTTTTGTCTGTATGTATTGTTTATATTACCTCATCGGCCACCAGATTAGACGATTTCTTTCCAAATTTAACTAAATAGCGACACTGAACAGACAGATAAAAACAATAACATTGAATCGTCTACAAAATTCAAATAAGACATCAACTTTAAGCAAGATAAATTTTGTCTTAGAAATATCATAAAGAAATAAACAATGAATTTTCGACTTGAACAAGGAAATTAAATTAATTATCTATTATAAATAAAATTTTAAAACAGTTAACCTTATTTAAAAAGGTTAACAACACACGTGCAAAAAATCAAAACAAAAGAACCAACATTATTTAGAGTTCAAATCCCCTTAAGGAATTCTGATCAAACCAAACTCATAAATAATACTATTTACATACCTATCCAGGCGACTTGCATTTACAAAATCCGACTATAGCTATTTTACGACGCATTTAAACACACACAAAAAACCTACCAGACTCCATTTGAAAGAACTTCAAGAAAATACAAGCATCATAACCTTATCCATATTTTAACCTTATCCACATGTAAAATAGATTAAAAATAATGTAAGCCCTAATAATAAAAAAAAAAAAAGCCAATTCTCAATAACGTTAACTATTGAACACGACCAAAATGTGATGACCTTGTTTGTAAAATAGAACTTTGCTATAACTGTTTAGATACATACATAATTAAACCCATACATTCAGTTCAATGTAAAATAAAATCATCTTTTGGTAAATTGCTAATTTTATAGCCGAAAGCTCGGACAGTCAGAACTTTGGGACACTTTTACGCACTTAGTTTCAAAAAAAAGAAAAAACTATTTAAAATTTACGAAAAAAATTAAAAGCAAAAAGTCTAATTTTTTACCCTGTCAGTTTTGATTAATTGAAATACACACACACACACACACACACACAACACACACACACACACACACACACACACACACACACAATTATATATATATATATATGAACATTGAAGTCAACACCAATCGGAGTACTTTGATTTTTTTTATGACTTTAAACGCAATCTTCAGTCCAGATTAATTGCGTTTAAAGCATATAAACATATTATATCGTTGTTAGGTATTGACCTCAATGTGTGTGCTTTTATATTCTGTAAACCCTCTATCCATAATATTGAGCACTTTACCAAATAAATATATCATATATATTTTTATCATACACACACACACACACACACACACGCACACACACAAACACACACACACATATATATATATATATATATATATATATATAAATATATATATATAATCGTTCTTTCAGACATATTTTATATAATACGACAGACAAGTAATGTTTTAAAATTTGCGATTTAGTTTCTCTGACGTTCTTATTTTTCTTTCTTTTATAAGGTTAAGAGCGTGATCCAATTTAGTATTGTGCTTAAATTGGTGAAGTCGAATTACCAAACAGAAAACAATTGTCAGGAAAATATATTTTAGGAAAGGCACTGTGGAGAATATATATATATATATATATATATATATATATATATATATAAGCTCCATACCAGATGTTTCAGTAATATTTGATGAAGAGACGAATAGTAGGCATAATTATGCAAAGATAAATTCTGGATGGAAAAATTATCTACAACGACATAGTGAGCCAACTTTCATAGTTGCTGATCTAACAAATGGTCCAATATAATCGTTCCACTTCATAAGTGGTAAATCCGGAACCTTGAAGTGCAATGAGTTGCTCTCTTGGAAGCAAAACCGTTTTTTCTCAATGATTAAAAAGCTGAAGTTTCATTTAGAAGCGTTGAAATTTTTCAAGCCCTATGATCATATAGATGTAATGATTCCCTCCCAACACTTTACAGTAAATGATGGAAAGCA